CATCAGCTTCATAAGGCAGGAAGCCTATAAATTCCTCTCTTAGGTTATGAGATTCATCAACAAACCTAACCAACACAGGTAGGTGCTCTTCCCCTGCTATGTCCACTACATCATCAGTGATAATGGAAAAGAAGTGTGAGTCTCTCACTTCCCTGAGAGTTTCTTCTCGAATACAGCTCTCACAGATCTCTAGCATCTGCCTCTGCTGTGTTTTCGAACAAAACAACGTGTTAACTGCTGTTGTCTCAAACCGCTTTCTCAGAACCTCTTCACCAGAATTTATCCTACACTCTAGCAGTGCCTGAAAGTTATCTGGAGTAAAGAGACCTTCTGGGATTTCATCAGCCTCATGTCCATCCAGAGGTATGTTTTGCTTTCCCATCAGAATCAATATTTCAAATAGAGATTTTAGGTATTCTTTGTTTTCCTTCTCTTCAAGGGTTAGAGGTAAAATGTCCTCATCTTGCCCTTCACCCTCTTCTTCACTGGGGTTCTGAGCATTGCTATTGTTGGTTTCTTTATGTTTTTGTTCCTGCTCAGAAGTTTCATCAACTGGAAAACAAAGAATTAATGTTACAAACAGGCTCAAGAAAAACCATACAAAACAAAAAATATTACACCTTTGGTTAAATATTTAAAATCCACAAACTCATTCATTCAATATTCATAGGGCATTTACTAGACTACAGACTAAGATAGAGATTAAAATAAGACACTAAGATAAGACATAATCTAGTGGGAGAGACAGTATAAACAGATATATTTTAATCCTAGATGTAAACGCTGTTGTAAGATAGGAATAATTTTTTTTTTTTTTTTAAGAAGAAGAAGGGGGTCTCAATATGTTGCCCAGGCTGGTCTTGAACTCCTGGCTTCAAGTGATCCTCCCACTTCAGCTCCAAAGTACAAGGATTAAAGGTGTGAGATACCACATCCAGCCTAATTTTTAAAACACACTTAACAAGACATTCCACATACGTAATGAATGACAGTGCATGCCCTCAGAAAAACAAAGTGGGACAGAACTAATTACTAAACTACTGTGCTTAGTATTTTATATGCATCACATTACCCTCTCTTCAGGCAGGTGGTATCAACCCCACTTGACAAATGAGGACACTAAGTAAACTTCCCCAAGATCACAAATACAGTTAGAAGAATGGAAGTAAAGTTGATATCCAAGTGTGTCTTGCTCCAAGGTCCATGCTGATGCTGTTTTTATCAAACCATGATGCCACACATTTATATGGGAGATATGGGACAACTGTACAAACCAGTATAATATAAAGGAGATTAATGTAATTCTTAGGGCTAGTATTAGAATATCACACAGCCTAATCTCTTCATAGGGGATAGGAAAACTGAGGCCCTACAGGCTAAATGCCCTGTCCATAGTCATACAGGTCACTGGTGTCTGCAGGAAAATAATCCAAATCTGAGGAGTCACAGTTAAAACCTAGTTCTTAGAACATAAGACAATGGCCGGGTGCGGTGGCTCACGCCTGTAATCCCAGCACTTTGGGAGGTTGAGGTGGATGGATCATGAGGTCAGGAGTTTGAGACCAGCCTGGCCAAGATGGTGAAACCCTGTCTCTACTAAAAATACAAAAATCAGCTGGGCGTGGTGGCATGTGCCTGTAGTTCCCGCTACTCGGGAGGCTAAGGCAGGAGAATCGTCTGAACCCGGGAGGCAGAGGTTGAAGTGAGCCGAGATCGTGCCACTGCACTCCAGCCTGGGCAACAGAGTGAGACTCCATCTCAAAAAGAAAAAAGACTGTGGAGGGCGGCAGGGAGAAACAAAAATTCAGAAGTTGCATTTGATGACAAGGATAAATAAGAGGGACATGAACAAGGAGGGCATTTCAGTTGGTGAGAATTATTCCAGCAAAAGCACTAAGGTAGAAGAGGGAAGCAGGCTGTCCAAGTACAAAGGGAAATCTAGTCTGACTGGAGCCTGTGTGAGCCATACTTCAGAGCTTAATAAGGGTTCAGCAAAATGCAGGGAGCATCCTTCCCTCACCCTCCTCAAATCAGATGACACTGCTATTCATCATACGTGACACAGCAGTGGTTCTATTCTAGGGAAGCTTCCCAAGCCAGAAAGCAAGAGGTTTTCCTGGACGCCTGCCTGTCTGGCTCTCTCCCTCTCTCCTCCATTGTTTCTCTACTTCCAATTAACTAGTACTAATTCCCTTGCTTTTATTTTTTTTCAAAAAGAAGTTCATTAAAGAGCAAAGAGTACAAAGTGAAAAGTCAAGTCCCTCTTCTTTTGGGCATCTTTCCTAGGTGTCATAGGTATACAAATTTCTTAAGTTCCCTGAATCTCTTCTCTTTACTCTCTCTACCATTGCCTTAATTCAAGGCCTTTCAACTTTTATTTGGTCAGCTGACAGCCCAACTGGCCTCCCTGCCTCCAGTGTTACCTTTTGTAATCCAACAGAGTACTCTATGTACCATGGAAATCAGGTCCCTCTTATCACCTACTTACAAACCCCTAAGTGGTTTCCTATTGCTAACAGCCCACAAGTCTGCAAGTTCTGGCCTTTGGGGTCCTCTCCAGGCTCATTTTCTAACCATAATGGGTTATCACAAACTTTAACAACACTAAAATGAGTGTAGTTCCCCAAATCTACCACCCTGTTTCATGCACAGAACACCTTTCCCTCTCTTTGCCTAAGTCCATATCTCCTCATCTATGAAGAGGGAAATAACAGTACTTATCTCAAGGTTATTGTGAGAATAAAATGAATTAATACAAGTAAAGCACTTAGAACAATGACTTGGCATCAGTAAGCACTCAATAAAATGCTATGTTAATAACAACAGCAATAGGAGGAAGAAATAGAGGAGGAGTAACTAATAACTGACAAGAAGAAAAACAGCTTCTAGCCCTCGTCCTTTGGTGACATAATTTGGGCATCAGCACCTACAGAAAGGCTGTTGTGACCACTACTGCCAGTGGCACTATGTGTCCCCATAGCATTTAGTCCTTAAACATTTACCAAGAATTCATTACGCACCACAACTGGGTGGACAGAAAAGAGATTCAGTGCATGCCTCTACTGTTGCCTTTCCTTCCCTACAATGGAGCACTGTGTGCCTGCCACCCCTCTACCACACTGAGAGAGAAGGCGTCACTTCTGTGAGGCCTGCATATAGCATAGTGTGTGGCATAGCACCACTCAATAAAGACAAACTAAAATTAGACTTTATTCTCACAATTTCAAAACACAGGACAAAGTTGAGCACACTCTTACATCCATTCTCAAGGTAGGTTTTTGACACAGAACATATTTATTTGTCCTTACCAGGTCAAGGCCTTTTTAAAAGGCATTCAGAAGTTGAGTCATTAACACTATCACTTACTTTTTTTCTGTTTCAGTGTCCTGATTTCGTCTTCACTCTAAATGTCAAGAAAAAAAAAGAAAAAAAAAACAAAAAACAAAAATCATCTTTAAAAAACTGACCTCTAGTCTATCATCTTAGACTCACAAATACAAATGCCTAGTCTGAGTCAATTTAATTCTTTCAAGAGCATAAATTCTTTATATAGAGAGTATACATTCTTCAAACAGACCGACAATGAGAAAACCAGAATAAGCTGTTAATGACTCCAAGGTTATAACAAAGTCCTAGGGAAAAAAGAATACATCATTTTACTTATTTTCTACCTAAATCACCGTAACTTTGGGTTATAAGTGTTTCCTGGCTAATGAAAGTCACAAAAATACACCATGGCACTTGGAGTTAAATTCAAGAGGACGCAAATCATCTTGCTTCCCAATTTAACCCTGGAGATGTCCCATAAGAAGGAGGTTGCTGAATCTCTGGACTCAACACAAAAGTGATGAGAAATCCCTGTGAAGGAGAAGGTGAAAGAGTACCAGCATGGAAGAGATACACAGAGCATACACAGAGCATAGTAGGCCAAGTGGCACCAATAGGGTTAGACAAAGGAAGAACTTTCTAGCTGCATCCTTTACTTTCCTTCCAACCCTCTACAATGCTTAAATCATAGGCCACTTTGTTGTTTTCCGTGGCAGAAAAGCAGCAATGCCAGTGACAGACAGCAGGATGCCTGCTGGGCAGCAATGGACATGGTGCTGATAACAAGAAACATCAGCAGGCTGGTCAACCTGGACATCCCCTCCTTATCCTATGGACTGCACGTTTATAAGGATGGCGGGTCAGGAAGAGTATGCCTGCTGTGAGATGACATGAAGCGCTGTGAGATTATGTGAGGCTCTCTGAGGGACAGACTACAGAGAAATGATAGCTACAGGACAGCAAGTGATTGAGCTCCTCATCCTGATACATATTATACTTCATATCTATAGATTCAACCAACCATGCACTGAAAATGCTGGGGAAAACATGGATGGTTGTATCTATCATGAAAATGTGCAGACTTTTTTCTCATTATTCCCCTATATAACGCAGCATGACTATTTACATAGCATTTACATTGTACTAGGTGTTACAAACAAATGTATTAAGCATCATAAATAATCTAGATATTACTTAAAAATGGATGGTTCTGCCGGGCACAGTGGCTCACGCCTGTAATCCTAGCATTTTGGGAGGCTGAGGCGGGAGGATCACCTGAGGTCAGGAGTTCGAGACCAGCCTGACCAACATGGAGAAACCTCGTCTCTACTAAAAATACAAAATGAGCCGGGCATGGTGGCGCATGCCTGTAATCCCAGCTTCTCGAGAAGCTGAGGCAGGAGAATTGCTTGAACCCGGGAGGCAGAGGTTGTGAGGAGCTGAGATTGCACCCTTGCACTCCAGCCTGGGCAACAAGAGCAAAACTCTTGTCTCAAAAAAAAAAAAAAAAAGTTTGGTTGTGTCTATACTGAACACACAGACTTTTGTTCTTCTCATTATTCCCTAAACAATGTAATATAACAACTATTTAGATAGCACTACATTGTATTAGGTATTATAAATGATTTAAAGTACACAGGAGGATGTGTTTAAGTTATATGCAAATACGACACCACTTTATATAAGGGAATCAAACATCTGTGGATTTTGCTCTCTGACGAAAGGTCCTGGAATCAGTCCTCCATGGACACCAAGAAGAAAGCTGATATGGAGGACTGTAATGTAGGTGTCAGTAGTCATCTAAGAGAAGTCCCAGGAAAATAGAAATAAACAAATAGAGGGGAAAATGCATAACGAAAAATAAAAACTAAGGATTTCTCAGAATTTAAGATGTAAGTCCTCAGCTGTAAGATGACAAATTAAGGTACATAAGAAAAAAACTCACATCTAGATATAGGTTAGCAAAATTTAAAATGTCAAATATAAAGAAAACTTTTAAAAAGCTTTGAGGGAGAAAAAGAAGATTACCTAAAAAGGAACAAGAATCAGGCTGTCACAGACTTCAACAGCAATAATGGATGCAAAAAAATCAGAAAGAATCAACATCACATAGACTATATGTATCCTCTATGTAGCTCTTAATAACATTTAAAATTTAAAATATCAAATCATTTTTTAAAATAATTCCACATCTGGAAACTAAGAAAACAATCCTGTGTTAACAAAATAGAGAAATTACAAAATAGTGACAGCCAGATATGACAGCACTATCTGTCTAAAGTTGTGGGGTATAGCTAAAATGGACCTAAGAGACACATTTACAGCTTTGAATACACATAAATATGAGCTAAACATTCAAGAAGCTAGAAAAAGAGTCAAAAAGTAAATCAACCTAATCAAGGAAAACCAGTAAGAGTTCACAAGTACAACAATCACTGACAAAACTACTGGTTCTTTGAAAAGATTATTAAAGTTTCATAAACTTACAACATTACAAACATTAACAAAACACAAGAAGAAAGAGAAAACCAATAAAGATATCAAAATGGCAATCAAAACTTTCCCTCACCCATCCCAAGCCCTCTAATGGTTTTACCAAGTTCTACCTTACTTTCAAGAGCAGTTAACATCTACCTATACAAATTTTTCTAGGAGAAAAAAAAAAAGATATCCAACTTATTTTATGATGCTAATAGAACCTTGATATTGTAATTGGATAATGACAGTACATGAAAAGAAAGTTACAGGCCAAGATTCACAAATGTAAAATCCTAAATAAAATACTGACCAATTGAATCCAATGGTATATAAAAGTAAACAGACATATTGCAATCAACTAGAATTCATTACAGAAATGCAGATGGTTCACAGAAAATCCGTTAGTACTCACTGCATTAAAGAATGAAAAAAAATGAACTTTTCTATTAAATACATGCAATGAAAGCATGTGATAAGTCAAATACAAAAACGGAATATAGGTCAGGTGTGGTGGCTCACTACTGTAATGCCAGCATTTTGGGAGGCTGCGGTAGGAGGACTGCTTGAGCCCAGGAGTTTGAGACCAAAGTGGGCAACATGGCATGATCTCATCTATAAAAAATAAAAAATACAAAAAAATAAGCCAGGCATGATGGCACACACCTATGGTCCCAGCTATTTGGGAGGCTGAGGTAAGAGGACTGCTTCAGCCCAGAAGGCAGAGGCTGCAGTGAACAGTGTCTGCCCCACTGCACTCTGGCCTGGGTGACAGAGTGAGACCCTGTCTTAAGAAAACAAACAAAAAACAAACAAGAAAACTCTGAATATGGGAGTAGAAGGGAATTTTCTTAACTTGATAAACACTATCTAACAATACCAAGAGCAAACATTATACTTAATGGGGCAAGGCAAGTATGACATTACTAGAATTGTTCAACGTAGTACCAGGGATCTTGACTAAACAAGACAGGCAACAGAAAAAATTAAAATAGTAAGAACTGAAAGTGACAAATTTCTCCTTATTTACAGATGATACAATCAGTAACAGAGGAAAAACTCAGAAGACTTATTAGGATTAATTTGAAAAGAAGTTCTTCAAAAGTGCTGGAAACAATTTTAACCAGAATATATCATCTATACCAGTAAGAACCGTAATGTATTTAAGAAGTGATCTAAGGAAGAATGTATACATTGTCATTTAAAGAACTGTAACGAAAGCCCTCAAAATTTTTCATTTTCTGTACTCCTAAAAGTATTCTAATATTCTTTTCAAAAAACTAGTATTTAGTTTTGTCAATGATTGCTGTTACTTGATAGGTATTCTATGGGATTTTTTTTCTATTCATGGATGGAACTAGTTAATACTTTACAATAGTTTATACTGTAATAGTAAACTAGTAATATTCATTTACTAACATTAGTAATACTAAACTAGTAATAAACTAGTAATAAATTTACAATTGCTAATATTGTAAAGATGTCAATTCAAAGCAATTATAATGAAAATCCCAAAATAATTTCTAGGAGAACTTGACAAAAGGACTTTCAAATTCAAAAGCCCAGGCACGGTGGCTCACGTCTATAATCCCAGCACTTTGGGAGACCGAGGCGGGCAGATCACTTGAGGTCAGGAGTTCGAGACCAGCCTGGCTGACATGGTAAAACCGTGTCTCCACCAAAAACACAAAATTAGTCAGGCATAGTGGTGAGGGCCTGTAGTCTCAGCTACTCTGGAGGCTGAGGCAGGAAGAATTGCTGGAAACCGGGAGGTGGGGGTTGCAGTTAGCCAAGATTATGCCACTGCACTCCAGCCTGGGTGACAGAGTGAGACCCCGTCTAGGGGAAAAAAAAAAAAAATTCATATGGAGGAATAAAGGTCCACAAATAGTTAAGAAAAAGAAGAGTTAAACAATCACCTTATTTGAAAGTTAGATATATTACAAAGCCATGGTAATAAAACAGTGCGGTATAGCTGCAAACAAATAATACAGTGAAATGGAACAGAACTCCCCAAAACAGCCTTATGTAAACTTGTTATATAACAGAGGTGGCATTTTACACCAGTAGAGGAAAGGAAGGATTAACAGACCATGTTGGGAAAACAGTTTCTCTACAAGGAGAAAAAGTTATTATAGATCCCTACTGTATGTCATACAAACTCCAAATGGATAAAATATCTAAATATGGTAAGCATAGAATAAGGAAAATTAGATAAATGCTATCTTTAAAAAGCACACAGTAGGTGAACTGATAGGACATACATTAAATACACTAGCATGGACACCAACTGGCAGGGGAAGGAATGGTAATGGTAATAGTGGGTGAAGAAGGAAAAATAATAAAGCAAAATAAGGGCCTTGCTAGTGGCAATGATGACAGAAAGCCATGGACTAAGGAGTTACTATACTTCCGTTCACCTAAGGTCAACAAAATACAGATAGGTGTCAATCCTCAGAACTGAAGGATATCTAAGGAATATAAGAATATGTGTAAATTATGCCATAAACAGAGATTTCGATGTTTTTTTTCTAAACTCTGTCCATATTTAATAGTGACAGAAGCCTTATCTTTAAAACATTCCATGTCTCCACTTCTACACTTTCCCTTTCTTTATTCCTTTGTGCTGAACTCTGGAAACACCTCAGCTCTATTTTCCTTACTACAAAAGAAAAGGTAGCTTTCTCCTTCTTCCCCAGAAGGGAATGAGCTAGTGGCCTATAATTAATAGCACACTCTGGACCAACTCAACAGTATCAACTGGCTAAATTTGAGGGAGATTTTCCAATTTAAATACTAAAACTCATCATCTCACATCCAGGCTACTATTTACCATAACATTTATTTCCCATTACATTACTTCTGAAATAGAGAGTAACTTGGATTAATTTAACATAAATGCATCCATATTTGACTTCATAGTATTATGGGGGAAGGTGGGAAAGCTGAAAGTACACAGACATACCAGTTCTTTTATTCGTTTTCTGTGTCTACTATGTGGGTTGTTCAAATGACTGGTAAGATCAAATATTGTTGGTATTGCATTATCTCGAAGAACTGTCCTATAAGGACTCTGAAAAAGAAAAATGTGTTAATTCAGATATGATCCTTATAAATATATTACATATCAATAAAATTCTATGTTAATGACCTCCACAATATTCCTTCAACTCCAGCTCTAAAGTATAGAGGCTTATAGAACTTGATGTCAGTTCAGGTCAGTCTACTATTTCCAACTGTACCTGCATTTGTCCTTCTGGCAATCTTATTATAAATTAAGAAACTGAATTGAAGGTAGGCATAAAACATAAAATGTGCTTGCATTTTGCGTATCTGTTTCTAATTCAGCATCCCAGCTACTTTATCTTCCTGTCCTTCCAAGAGCCCACAATCTACAGGAGGTACAAGTCTCCCAAAATAATCTGCACTCTTGTATGTTCCATAATAATGCATCCCTATTTTACCTAATGTTCCACTTTTGCTAATATTACTGAGAAGTATCAAGGCACAGTGAAAATATTGGACTGGGACCCAGGAGACCTAGGAACTAGTCCAAACTCTACCAGTGAATGACTCACTAAGACACCTTGGCTAAATTACTTTCCCTTTTTGGGCCCCAGTTTCTTCTTCTGAATAAAATTCTGGTATGGAACTATTTCAACATTTCCCAAAATGAAATTATTCACATACTTAACGATCATAATGCTTGCCATTTCAGTTATATTACCATCTGTATTTTTACACAATCTACTCACACTGTCTTAAGTAATAAAAACTGTAGGCAGAATGATCTGATGTTTTTATCTTACGTTTTTAAAAATTTTATGTTTTTAACACATACTACAAAACTTCTAAAATAAAAATTGATTCATGTGCCACATGAAACCAACTCTCACACCACAAGTGATACTGATATACATAAACACATTTTTGCAAATGATAATCTAGGTATTTCTATATTTCTTTCAAGTCCTAATCCTAATGATCTTATGAAAGAATGATCATACTTTACCCTACTTCCTGTTAATTTCATCCAACTTGGCTAGAAGCTGGATATATACTTAGATGGTAACAGCCCTACTGCCAGCCCTGAGGAGGCTGGGTAAGAGACAAGAAGCTTATTAAGAGGGAGAGTAATAAATAACTGCTATTACACTCCTCTCAGACAGTCCAAAGAAATAGTGCCTTTAATTTCTTCCTCAATTTGCAATGATAAAGATAAAACATACTTCATTTAAACAAGCTTTCTTGGAAGCAGTGATTATTTCAAAATATCTAAGCATGTTCAAAGAACATGCCAAACAAAAACAACAACTTCTAAATTTGTTCACCCAAAGAAGGGAGGTCGGGAAGACATGAAGGGAAAACATGTATCTAAATGGAACACACTATCTTGGGTTGTACCCAAAGAGTTGTTAAACACATTTGGGATGAATTTCTATTCAGAGTCAATATTTTCTAGTTCAATTCCACGCCATAACAGAAAGCACAAAGATGATTCTCTGACTTCCTAGTAACCCTCAACTTCTAGTTCTGGGCTCGTGATCCTGAATCTACCAGGGAGGCTGAATGAGGAATTGGTTAGGGACACAATCACTGAAGGGGGTACAAGCTATTATACTCAAAGCTCCCCCATCTTTCATACTGAGCAAATGTCCCCAAAATAAGCAAATACAAATACACAATCAACTTTCGATATCTTACCAATTATTAAATAAGGAGGAGAGGAAAAAAACATTTTAACAAATTTTTAAAAGTCAAATCAAATGATTTTCTATTTGCAAATAAAGCAAAGACATTATAGATCGGAAAACAGAATATGTGAAAGAAAAAAATGACATTTTATAAATATTTATTTTGGCCAAGAATGTTGGCTCACACCTGTAATTCCAACACTTTGGGAAGCCATGGCCTGGTAGACGGCTTGACCCCAGGAGTTCAAGACCAGCTTAGGTAACATGGCAAAACTCCATCTCTACAAAAAATACAAAAATTAGCCAGGTATGGTGGCACATGCCTGTAGTCCCAGCTACTTGGGAGGCTGAACGGGAAGGATTGCTTGAGCCTGGGAGGTCGAGGCTGTAGTGAGCCATGATTGCACCACTGCACCCCAGCTTAGGCAACAGAGCGAGACCCTGTCTCAAAAAATAATAATAAAAATAAGAAAAATATAAATATTTACAAGGACACATGCCAAAAAAGACAACATTCAATTACTGCTTATGATATCAAGTATCGCAGTATCAAGATTTAATTTTTAACTGCTGAATTAAGGTTTGAGCATGAAACAATAATCTTACTCTAGCATCAAAATAATAAAATATTTGGCTCAGGCCAAATTCAGTAGTCATGAATGTTTACTGATGAGATTTTTTTTTTTTTTGTCTGTTTGTTTAAAGACAGGGTCTCACCATCATGTTGCCCAGGCTGGCTCTGAACTCCTAGGCTCAAGCAATCCTTCAGCCTTAAGACTCCTGAGGGACTACAGACACGTGCCACTGTGCCTTGCCACTGATGAGATCTTCAATGTCAAACTAATAAAGCCAAAACTCTTAAACATTTAGATATGGATATCAGAAAATCCAGGGGTTTTTGTTTGCTTGTTCGTTTTTGAAACACAGTCTCACTCTGTCACCAAGACTGAAGTACAGTGGCACAATCTTGGCTCACTGCAACCTCAGCCTCCTGGGTTCAAGTGATTCTTCTATTTCAGCCTCCTGAGCAGCTGTGATTACAGGCGTGCACCACCATGCCCAGCAAATTTTTCTTTTTTTTTTTTGTATTTTTAGTAGAGAAGGGGTTTCCCCCTGTTGGCCAGGCTGGTCTCGAACTCCTGACCTAAAATGATCCGCCCACCTCAGCCTCCCAAAGTGCTGGGATTACAGGCATGAGCTACCATACCCAGCCCAGAAATCCAGTTTTTAATAACATCTCCTAGATATATAGAAAGAACATTTTCTCACATTCGGATTCATTTATTCAGGATTGAAGAATCATTTAGAAATTAAAAAAGCAAACCTGGCTCATCTTTCTGTTCTATTCTCTAAAGAATGTAAGAATGAACTATGCTTTAAATTTCTCACAATCTGGTTAGAATTATCTAATTAAGAGACCATATTTATTACTAAAATAAAAATGCAAAAATGCATATGGCAAATGTATTTAAAATAATTTGGGATATTTTTACTTAATGTCAAGAACATAAAAGTAGTTTGCCTTTTAAACATATGAAACCTTTTATTTCGGTTGATCATTATTACCCTCTTAACAAATTAAGGCAAAAATATTCCTCAAATATTTGTGATTAAACTGTTGAACCGGAATTGGCTCACCTCCCAATGACTTCACAAGTATCTGCTTCAATTAATTTTGAGAAATAAAATAACCCAATCATTCTTTAGTTTTCTGATGCCTCTGCAAAATGTATCTGAAAAAAATATCAAAATAAATTGCTGCATAACAACATATAGTGTACCTTCGAATCAAGTTTATGTCTATCCCAATATCTGAGGTGTTACATTAGTTACACTGAAACAATTCTGCTTCATTTCAATCAAATTTGCCTTATTTGTGCCTTTTATAAATCACAGCAAGAGAATCACAGAGGGTTAAAAATCTTAGAACTCAGGAATTACCTGCTCTAATCTCCTTATTAGGAACTGGGGCCCAGAGAGGGGAAGTGACTTGGCCAAGCTCACACAATTAACTGGTCTTGATATGAAATTACATACTATTGATGGAAATGTTTTTCCACATTACCTGGATAAGTTGTTTACTATTACATCTAGCACATAAAAATTAAGAGTTGGTTCTAATAGTACATACAAAAACATGAAAACAAGAGCTCCATTCCAAGATGAAAATTTTACTCATAAAAAAGCTCTAAACAGCTCCAAATAAAAACACCAACTTTACCTTAAGTATATACTTTTATAATCATCTAAAATTTTTCTGAAAACTAAATAATATTTAAAAGTGGTTACCTCGGCCGGGTGTGGTGGCTCATACATGTAATCCCAGCACTTTGGGAGGCCGAGGTGGGCGGGTCACTTGAGGTCAGGAGTTTGAGACTAGCCTGGCCAACATGGTGAAACCCCATCTCTACTAAAAATACAAAAATTAGCTGGGTGTGGTGGCACGTGCCTGTAATCCCAGCTACTTGAGAGGCTGAGGAGGGAAAATCGCTTGAGCCCAGGAGGTGGGGGAGGTGGCAGAGGTTGCAGTGAGCTGAGATAGCACCGCTGCACTCCAGCCTGGGTGACAAAGCGAGACTGTCTTAAAAAAAAAAAAAAAAAAAAAAAGTAGTTACCTCGGGTGAATAGAAATGGGGCATCAGAAACAGAGGAGTTTTTCTTTCTTTTTTTCTTTTTTCATCATTTTGGGTTTTTTTCCAGACAAGCTCTCATTCTGTTACCCAGAGTGGTGTGTAGCGGCATGAACACAACTCACTGCAGCCCTGACTTCCTAAGCTCAAGTGATCCTCCCATCTCAGCTTCCCAAGTAGCTGGGACTACAGGCATACGTCACCACACCTGGCTAGTTTTTTTGGTATTTTCTGTAGATATGGCGTCTGGCCATGTTGCCCAGGCTGGTCTCAAAACTCTTGAGCTCAAGTGGTCTTCCTGCCTCGGCCTCCCAAAGTGCTGGGATTATAGGTGACTGGCAAAATCAGATTTTAAGAACAAAACAGATACTATTCAGCTCCAAATCTGTCTTCATCTTAAAGTGGCAGGATATAGGAATACTTTCCAACATTGGCAAATACTTACATTTCCAACCAGACAGAGTGAGAGAGAGAGAAATCAAGACAAACAGAGAGACACCAAGCTCTTCTATTACTCACAGTTCTACAGATCATAGAGGTCTCAAAATGTTTGGCACATAATCGATAATGTTTATTTAGCTGATCAGGTGTTTTATCTTCTAAGTCTGCTCTCCTACAGTTCTCCACCCACTTCTGGCATCTATAAATAAAAACAAAACACAATTATGAAAATGAGCTCAGCATTTAAATTTCAGCCTGCAGTTTTAAGGCAAACATATATTAATAACAATGGATTCCTGCTCCCCTCCCTGAGAACATAATTTGGAGAATTTTATTAATAACAAAATAACAGTTGGAAAAAACCTTAGAAATCATTTAGTAACAACACTTCAATTACAGACAAGGTTAAGAAGTAACTTGCTTGGAGGCAAGTACAAAATCAGCAGCAGAATTAGAACTGAAACCGGCATCTTCCAACTCCAGACATTAGAGAAGATCCAACCATCAGTAGAACAAGCAGAAAGCTGCACAGCCACAAGGCTAACAGCCTAACATTCCCTTCAGGATTTCAACTTCAACAAGCAAACGAAACAACACTGTCACTGTTGAAAATCAGTAATTAGATGTTCTTTAAATAACTAGTTTCTAAGGGAAGCATAAAGGCTGTATTCGTTTATCTTCCTATGAACACAAATTATTATCTATAGTAATATGTGTTGACTAGATTGCAAGCTCCATGAACGCAGGGACTGTGTCTACACAATCCAGTACACAAAAAGTACTGAAGACAGGGAACAAGACAAAGTCCATGCCCTCTCAGTGCTTAAATATTTTCAGAAAAACTAATAATAAGCACTTATTATGAGCCAGACACTGTTCTAAGTCCTTTCCAAAGATGGGTACTATTATCATCTCCCTTGTGCAGATGAAGAAACCAAGGCACAGAAATATTAAGTAACCTGCTAAAGTCACAACCGGATCTTTCCTCGAATTTCTTTTTTTTTTTTTTTGAGACAGAGTTTTGCTCTTGTTGCCCAGGCTGCAGTGCAATGCCATGATCTCGGCTCACTGCAACCTCTGCCTCCGGGGTTCAAGCGATTCTCCTGCCTTAGCCTCCCATGTAGCTTGCATCACAGGTGTGCGCTACCACACCTGGCTAATCTTGTATTTTTAGGAGAGATGGGGTTTCTCCATGTTGGTCAGGCTGGTCTCGAACTCCCGACCTCAGCTGATCCACCCACCTCGGCCTCCCAAAGTGCTGGAATTACAGTCGTGAGCCACCACGCCCGGCCCAACATATTCCTTTATAATTACATCACAATATATATATTTTTAATGTTTTAACACTATTGTCCACCTTTCCCCAACACACCTGCCCCTGACACTTTATTCTATTCTAAAAATGTAAAATCATGGTAAAATGCTATGATTTTTAAAAAACTACAGCTAAATTGTACAGCATTTCATTTGACCAACAAGTATTACACTGCTCACAGTAATGATGCCTAAGATGTTCACAATTTCATCACACTTGTACACAGTTGTACATTATGATTATAAACATTTCATGTTTCAAAATCCAAATATTAAGTGTAAAAACTATTTCACTATAAAATAATCTGCCATACTGCTACAGTTTGTTTTTTAAATTCTTAAATCTCTGGAGACCTTCCACACAGAGCAATACTGTACATATTACCTCTGAACTAAGTTGAAGCAGCTTTCTGATATCAACAGCAACTCTTATTCAGACAATCAAGAACAGAATGGGCATCAGGCAGACAGCCTAATTAAATACACCTGTCTTTCTATATGAACTACTTAAGAATAAATCTAGTGAAAGATGCGCAAGACCTCTAATAATCTTTTTAAAGCAAACTTAAATAAATACATAAGTTTATGAACTGGCACACTAAATTATAAAGATGTCAATTTTCCCCAAACCCATTTACTAATTCAATATAATCACAAGCCCAATAAGTTTGTGAGAGACAGCAAGAGAAAGAAATGACTAATTATTCTAAAACTTTTTATACACAAATTTAAAGAACCCAGGATAACCAAGACAATCTTGAGAGAGAGAGAAAAAAAAGGAGGTTAAAAGAATTACACTACCAGATATTAAGACTTACTGTAAAGTTTATTACTTCCTGGCAGAAGGACAGAACAATGAAACAAAACAGGGCACTACAGATACTTAAAGGTAGCTTTGAACAGCGGCAAATACGGAGTTTTCTTTTTCAATAAATAGGGTTGAGTTAGTTGAATATCCACATTAAAAAAACAAATCTTAACTCCCATTTGTACACCATACACGAAAATAAATTCCAAGTGATTGTAGATCAAATATGAAAGGTAAAACAATAAAGCCACTAAAAGGTAACACAGGAGATTATCTTCATGACCTTGGAATAAAGATCTCTTAAGGAACAGAAAGCACAAACACTAGAGGAAAAGATTTATAAATTAGGTTACTTTAAAGTTAGTAACTTTTCTTCATTAAAAGAAGCCATTTAAGAGTGAAATGGTAGACCACAAAATGTCAGATATTTGCAATACATATATCTAACAACGGACTCGCATTCAAAATATATATGAAGAACTACAAATAAATAACCCAACATAAAAACTGGCAAAGGGTCTTGAACAGGCACTTTATAATAAAAAGGTAATAAAAATGGCAATACATAGATGAAAAAAATGCTCAATCTCATTTGCCATCAGGGAAATGCTAATTAAAACCATAACAGGCCAGGCGCAGTGGCTCAAGCCTGTAATCCCAGCACTTCGGGAGGCCGAGACGGGCGGATCACGAGGTCAGGAAATCGAGACCATCTTGGTTAACACGGTGAAACCCCATCTCTACTAAAAAATACAAAAAACTAGCCGGGCAAGGTGGCTGGCGCCTGTAGTCCCAGCTACTCGGGAGGCTGAGGCAG